AGTTGATGGAGACTGCAAACCTGCAAATTACAAAACATCAATTGGTCAATGTTCCTTCTCATTCAAAGGCCCTCATATCTGGAACAGTTTACCATCAGCAATAAAAACATTAACAGATCTTAAGAGTTTTTAATTCCCAGGTGAAAAAATGGTTGAAACAAAACCAAATCTGTGAACACTGAGCCCCATGAGGATAGAGGAGCAGGCATGTGTGTGACTGAACTGTTTAATTTTAATTTTAATTTTATTTTATTTTAGCTGTTTGTATATAAAAGTCCAGCCAAGGACTGGGTTTGCAAATTAGCCTGTGGCTAGAAAACCTTTGTACAAAACAACGGTTGCTTCGTTTTTAACATGTAACATTGTTTAATGTGCTGTCCTTGTTCAAATAAACTTGAATGAAAAATGAAATGTCATGAGTTAGTCATCAAAACAAACAAACAAAAAAGACAGTCAAAAATAAATGCTGATAACATATTGGTGTGGACAATCAGGGTTTTGTATTTATATGAAACAAAATGAATGTCTCTTGTAGATTGTCGTCTTGTATAAACATTATAAAACTTCACTTCCTTTCACGACTAATATTCATGAGAATAATGTTGCTGCCTCGTCTTTTACAATCTCTGTTTTTAAACCAGCCCACCCCAGTAGACACAAAACCACCTCCTCCCTCCACGAGAACACCTTCTGGTTAAAATCAGTGCACCTTTAAGTAATGTATAAAAAATTCAATCATCCAGATGAGACGGTGTCTCATACAGGAGCTTGATGCTTTTGGAGCAGTCCTCGTCACTGTGGCTCAGTTCTCGGAGCTGTTAGAACAGGTGCAGTCTGTTTTGACCCGGGCTTCTGCTGCTGAGATCCAGGCTCTGCTGGTCAGTCTTGTGGAGGACGGGATCATCTCGAAGCCTGGAGTCTGCACCATCTTTATGATGGGATTGTGCCTGATCTAGTCTGCATGGAAGCTTCACGTAAACTGGAATGCGATGAGCTGGATGGGACAGAGTCTCACGAATCATTTGCCCTGCAGTACCTCTGTAGTAGACACGTAGGTACGTGCCACTAATTGTAGTATGACAATATATGAGATATATATGCATACAATATTCACGAGTTCCTCATCTTTCTGACTGTGTAATGTCGTGCATTGAATTTAACAGAAATGTAACGAGAGACGTTATTTATCTTTGACCCATCAAAATGAATGCGGTCATTTATTTTCAGAATCAAAGTTTAACATCAAACATTTACATTAATTTGGCAAAATATGAAAATAATAACAGACAAGTTTCACAGAAAAGGGACATCGATCACTCGGCGGTGAACGAGGACTTTGCTTCAGATATTTCTAAAATATCTGTACTGATTTTATGAGAAAGAGGAGAGTTTTAAGATGAAATGGAGATTTATCTTACAGAGAAATATGTGAGGGAATTAATCTGTTTGACCAGAAATTGCACGCTCCATCAGATATCAGCTTGCCCACGGTACACTTGGTCGAAAATAGAACCATCTACCTTGATGATGAAATCAGCGTCGGCGTAGGTTCCTTTCTGACTCTTTTCAGCGTCTCCGTGAGAACTACCAAACCCTCAGAGAGTCGTACGTGGTTTTCAAACAGAAATTATAATCCCAAAACGTCTCTGGATTATCCTGAATGCGTTTGCACCCAAGAACTCTGAACTCCTTTCATTCTTCAGAACTTCTCAGACTCTTAATTGTCAGCAACTCTGCCAGAACCGGGAAGTTGCCACATTTTTAATGGGTCGACTTCCGGGTCATTTGAGAGCTTTTTGATTGGTCGATGGACCAGAAATAGAGGTGTGGTTTGTGATGTAAGATGTTATCATAAGTCAAGGATTGTTTTCAACATACAGAAAAGATTATTGCAGACGACCAGACTTCGTGGAGTCTCACGCTGTTGTATCTTCTCAAATAGTAAAACATGACATTTCTTCTCAGTAAACATTTTAGTTGACCGAAAACCGACCTTTAACATACTTACATTACTTGGCTCATTTCAGACAGAGAATCAAGAAATGCATATTAACCTGATTTCTTCTTTGAATGAGGAATAAAAATCATTACTTACTG